CAGCTTTATGGTGGAGACCCTGACTATTAGTTTAAGAAATTTGTATATTATTCTGAGGAGAACAGGCAGGTTTATAAATAGGGAATACAATGATTAGATATGCTTACCTACCCTTCATTCTAGCCAAACTGAACTACTTTCCATGCCTCCTATGTGTCTTATTAATTTTCACCCATGCTTTTTAGAATCCTCAATTTTTTCAAGGCTCAGTTCAAGTGCCACCTTCTATATGAAGCATTTTCTGATTCCTCTACCATGGTAATCCTGCTCCCTCCCAATTATCTTGAATTTATTTGTTAAATCTTCTACATAGCTTTGGTGCATATGTCATCTTCCCTTATCAAATGTAAGCTCCATAATGGCAGGGATTGTTTTGGTATCATCCTTGTATCCTTGGAATTGATAATGTGATTGTGGTGGTTCTTTCCAAAGACTTATACAAAGAATTAAACTTGCTGGTAGGGCCTCTTTCCCCCAAATTGTTTTGACACACAAACCTATTCATCACATTTCTGCCTCCATTGGTTGCTGTGGTAGGTTGATCTTTGATTTCAGATAAGTAAAGAATTTTAATTCAGTTTCTAAGGCCCCAACTCCCTGGTTATTAAGGAAAAACAATGTCTAGAAATCTTGAAGTCCAAACTTGTCTTAGAATTTGCAGATCAACCTCTCACATAATTTTTTTTCTCATTCTCATCTACTTCTATCTAAACTAAAAATCACACAAAATATACCTTATTGGAGAATGTTGACTTCTGACTCTTCCAAAATGAACAGACTAGACATTAATTTTTTCTCTCTCTCTAGTTGTTCTTTTCTTTTCTTTTTTTTTTTTTTTAGGAAAATGATAGCCTATTTTGAAGAAACTGTCAAGAGTGGACTTGATAAAGGCCAGATCTATACTAAGTCAATAAATTATTGCAGAACTCCCCTTCTATGAGGACTAGGTCCTCTATAGAGTTAATCATTTGTATATGTGGAATATGACCAAATAGCAAGATCAAAAGGTCAATGTAATTTGGAATTTTTTATATGCATGCAAGAAAGGTTTAACTCACTGGCAAGTGATTTGATTAGTATTGTTTCCATATACGCCTATGTAGAGATGCCTAAGAACACAAATTCCATAAACTCTTAGAGTAAAAAAAGAAAAAGCAATAAAAGACAGTCGGCATTGTGAATCCCATTATCATCTGAGGTTAAGTGATTTTCTATCACAAGAAATGCTTTTGAATTGTTGAGCAGAACTTAAAACAGAAGGTTATAGAATCATATTTTCCATTTGGTGTTTTTGGCACAATCCCAACAGGAGTGGGTTTGAATGAACTAATCAGTCTGATTAGTTCTCATGATTTTCACCAAATCAGAGTATAATTGAAACACTTATATTGCCCTTTAGCCTGAAAAATTCACATCAAATCACAGATAATGTCAGAGCAACTTGACCATTTTCCATGTCCTTTTTAAATTCTCTTTTAACCATGAGCCCTTGTTATATTTTTCCTTTAAAATTTATTTATATTTTGGGTTTTTATATCATATTCATTTCCCAATATAGTAATTTCCACTTCCACACTTAGAGAGCTGTTACTCATCAAAAAAGAAACAAACAAAGCACAAAGAATTAAAAAAGGGGTAAAAGCAATTCAGCAAAATCAACTAACATATTAATTAAGTTATATAATATATACAATGCTTCACATCTGTAGTATGTCATCTCTGCAAAGAAGAAAGAGATAGATTATCATATATCTTCTTTTAGTCCAAGTATGGTCAATATAATTATAGACCATCCAGTTTCAATTTGTTGTTGATGCTGTTATCATTAGACTGTAAGGTCCTTCATGGCAAGGACTCTTTGCTTTCTCTCTGTATCTCCAGCACATATTCCCTAGAACATAGGAAGTGCTTCTTGATTTATTGAGTTTTTTATATTTACATGTTGTTGTCATTTGTGATATTGTTTTCTTGATCCCATTTGCTTCATATTTGTTCATATTTATTTGCTTTTATTCACTCATATTACTGTTTCCATGTCTGCTTGTATTTTTCATATTTGTCATTTATGTGTGTGTGCACATAAACACATATATACATATTACAAAGTAATATGTTGTCATATTTTCATGGCACTTTCTTTAGTTATTCACTAATTAATTAAAAACGATTTGGTTTTTAGCTCTTTGTTACTACAAAAATGTTTTTTTTTAATTAAGCATATTTTATTCTATCTTTAATGTCTTTCAGGTATATAAGTTGCAGTAGGGTGTCTGGGTGAAAGGCTTAGGACCTTTTTCTTAGCATAATTCCCAATGAATTTCCAGAATTTTTATTATTATTATTGTTATTATTATTATTACTACTATTATTTAGGCAATTGGGATTAAGTGACTTGCCCAGGGTCACACAGCTAGTAAGTGTCAAGTGTTCGGTCTGAGGTCAGATTTGAACTCCGTTCCTCCTGACTTCAGGGCTGATGCTGTATCCACTGCACCAGCTATCTGCCCCTACTTTCCAGAATTATTAAATTGATTTACAGTTTCACCAGCCAGGTATTACAATAACTTTGCTTTTACAACCATTCCAATATTAAATATTACTATATTTTGTCTATTTTTTTGGCCAGTTTCTTGGTTATGAAAAGAAAGCTCAGAGTTAATTTGGTTTGGAAATTTTTTTCTTTCATGTGGTTGTTAATAGTTTGCATTTTAAAAAATAATTGATCATATTGTGTACTTTAACCACTGGAAAGTGTTGGAAAATGATTCTTGGGCTTACATATTTCTGCTAGTTCCTTATATGTCTTGGCTGTTAAACATTTTCCTAAGCTATTTGATCTAAACAGTGTTTCTCCAATTTGCTACTTTTTTAATCCATTGTAATGTTTTGGCAGTGAAAGGTTTTTTTTTTAATGTCGTGTAATCAAGGTGATCAATTTTATCTTTTGTGTTCAATTGTGTCCCTTCTTTGTTTAAAAAATTCTACCTAGCAGAATTACAGGAAGAAATAGACAGCAAACCACACTAGTGGGGGACCTCAACATCCCCCTTTGAACTAGATAAATCTAAACACAAAATAAACAAGAAAGAAGTTAAGGAGGTAAGTAGAATTTTAGAAAAGTTAGAGAGGGTAGACCTCTGAAGAAAACTGAATGGGCATAGAAAGAATATACTTTTTTTCTCAGTGGTACATGGTACCTACATAAAAATTGACCATGTACTAGGGCATAAAAACCTCACAATCCATTCTCTTTTGTTTTCTGTGTAAACCATCATGCCATCAGCCAACAAGAATGATTGTTCTCTCCCCTTTGTTCATGCTTATGCCTTTCCTTTTCCTTATGCTATCACTATAATTTCTACCACTTTGTCAGATGGTAATTGTTGGGAAAACTTTTAATGTTACCCATGATCAGTAAGGCTAGCTTTTGGCTTTGTATACATACTTTTAAGATCAATTTTTAAAAATCCTTTAATGTCTTTACTATGTAGTTATTTCAGTCCAAATTTATGTTATACTGTGTCAATTTTTCTGTTTTATTGACATGCACTTAGATTTTTTTGTTTTAAATATTATTTTAATTATTTTCCTAATGTGAACAATGCATGAACTCTGATAAAAAAAAATCTAACCTGATTGTAGTGAATAATTTAAAAAAATATTGCTGTAATTTCCCCCCCAGGATTATGTTGGAATTTAAAAATTAATATTAATGATATTGATCTACTGTTATTTTCTTACTTATATATTCGGAGTTATGTTTGTCACATAAGAGCAATTTTGTAGAGTATTTCTTTTTTTATTTTTGAGAGTAACTTGTGTATCATAGGTAATAATTTCATTAAAACTCTAAGAAAATTTATGTGTAACTTCATCCAGGCTAGGTTCCCACAGGTAGTCCTTTTGTAGTTAGTTTAATTTCTTTTGCTAAAATCATTTGTGTAAAATTTTAATTTTATATTGTTATTTTTAAATTTTCCATAACTTCTTTTAATTTGTCAGTTACCCTAACATATAATTAAATACTGGCTTTTAATAAAAACTTGTGTAGGTTTCTGAGATTTCCCTTATTCTGGGCTGACCCTACCTCCTGCCAGTCTTCTGGAAGTTTAGATTTAATACTGGAAATAAATGAGGCACATGTAAGTCATTCAATAATTACTAAAGGAGATTTATCTAGCTATAGGAGGAAAAGGATATTCAGTGAGGCTAAACATTGAGGACACTTCGATTTGATTCCTCCGAGCGAAGCTCCCTTTTCTGAGTTGTTCATTGTGCTTTTCCAAGCATGAAAGAAAGTACCTGGAGCTCCTCAAGGTTGTTTTGTATTTAGCAAGCCAGGGAATGATATCAAAAGTTTAAGCCCTTAGTCTCTTGAACCAACTAAGTCTTGAGGATCACCTTAACATTAACAAAAAAACAAACAAACAAACAAAAAAACTAGCCTAAGTTATATGGGACCAGGGTTAGGATAGTGTTCCTACCACATCCCCATATGAAACAAAAAAGACTGGTATGTGTGTGTATGTGTGTGTGTGTTTCCCCTACATGGATTTTCTGGAAATTAGTCCTAAGTTTCTTTGGCTTGATTTAAACCAGGGGTTCTTAAACTGCCCCAAGGCATCTATGGAAAGATTTTTTTATGGACTTCATAAGCTTAGATAGAGAAAAATAAATATTTATTTTTTACTAACCTGTAAATGAAATTTAGATTTTTTCATCAGTTTTGAAATTCTGTAAGGCCCATAGACTCCATGAGAATTATAGATGGAAAGGAGTTCAGAGTGCTTCCCATTTCTCATTTAAAAATGAGAAAACAGAGAACCAAATAGTTGAAATGATTTGCCAAAGATCCCATAGGTAGGAAAAAACTAGAACTAAGATCTAGTCCTTGTAATTCCAATAACAAATAGCAGTATGGAAAATGTTGGAAACTATGTATTAATATTTGATCCACTAATTTTCCTGTTTTTCTTTCAGAAATTACAAAAGCAGTACTTTGAAGAATTACACCACCACCAACAGCAGTGATAGTCTTAGAGAATATATAAGGAAGCATACCTTTCAAGAAGAAAAAGTAGGAGAAGGCTAAGAGGACTGATATCTATCTCTATCCATAGCCATATTTTTATCTATATTTACATCTCTCTCTCTCTCTCTCTCTCTCTCTCTCTCTCTCTCTCTCTCTCTCTCTCTCTCTCTCTCTCTCTCTCCCTCTCTCCCTCTGTCTCTTTCCTCATATTCTCACTGAAAAATCTATTTTTGCCTAATTGTTTTTTTTTTCATTTTTATGTGAGAAATCTCAATCAAGTATGGTGGGTGGCTTCCAGAAGTTATTGTGGCATGCATGAAGACAAAGGGGAACAATAAAATACAGTTAAACAAAGAGTAGCCTGCAACATGAAGGAGATTTTCTGGTATTTAAAATATATCTATTAGCTTGTGAGCGACACAAGATGCCTAAGATTCTCTTAGGAACAAACACAACTCACTTCCTATTCAGCACTACTTTTACTTTTATGTTATTCATTATTTATCTCTTTAGGTTGAAAGACAGTCTGGTGGATATGCTCTGGAATATTCTCATTCATTACCAAAAGACAGAAAATTATCTCTAATTGATTTAGCTCCAATCTCAAGGTAAGATCTGGGACATATCATCACATAGGTGAGCTTCTATTCTTTCAATCTCAAACTCTGAAGTTATTATTTGAGACAATATTAGCAATAATGACCATCAGATGTAATGCCATTATCATATAATACAACATATAAATTAGCATTCATATAATATATAAAAATTATCTAATGGTATTCTAGGCTAAGGTCAACTCATACAAGCTAAAAGAAGGAGGTATTGTCCAGAATTCTTACCAACCACCACAATTGCAGATGTTTAGCCTGGCTTCCTTTTTACTGTACTCCTACAACACACCTTACCATCTCTTATTTTGCTTTTTACCTGCTTCTTACTTTCATCTCTCTGACTTGCCTTTTCAAGTACCCTAAAGCATTAGATAAAGTTTCTTCCTCAATGCTCCTGTAGTCCCAAAGCAACCCAGAGTCCTATCAAACAAACTGAGCTCACCTCAGAATTTATGTTAACAGTCTAGGCTTCCTCAGAATGTCAGTTAACTTTACTTAGAGTGTCAATTAGCATTCTAATCCAAGAAAAAAAAATGTTTTTCAATATCTATGTGAATCTATTAAAGATATATACTTAATATCTGAAATCTCAGTCAGCCTGGGTCTTGGCAGTATAAAGCTATATTCTCATGTGTAAAAGGTGGAATTAAAAAAAAAAGACTTTCATTGTGTCCTGCGAAATGCTATATTTTAGCTATCTGCCTATCTTGCCTACTCCTAATGATAGCTTTGAGGATGTACTATTAACTCTCATTTATGCGGTTATTTATAGCTTACAAAATATTTTCCTCACTACAGTTTTGTGATGGAGGTAATGCAAGTATTATTCTCACCCATTTTGTAGATGAAGAAACTAAAACACAGAGAGTATATCGTCTGCTAAGGGTAACATAGCCAGTATCAGAGCTAAGACTTGATCCTAGGCTGTCACTTGCCAAGACTAATGTTTTTGTACATACTATCCTACATCTTACTTATGTAATAATGTATTGGAGAACTAATGTGGCCTAGTGGGCCAACTAATGAAGTTGGAGTTAGGAAGACTTGGCTCCCATGTCTGATATTTACTAGCTATTTAATACTTAACCTCTTTATGACTTAAATCCATTATCTGTAAAATGGAGTTCTTCATATATGTAATACTCAATATCAAAGGGTTATTGTGATGAACAGAAGATATAAGGTAGACCAAGAGAAGCAGTTTATAAAATTTAAAGTATTATATATCACATATGTTTATTTCTAGTAAAGTCTCCATATTTACATTATTAAAAAGTAGGAGATTGTAGGGCACTTTCTGCACTGACTTTGCAAATGCATTTTCTCAGTAATTTGCTATCTACTGTGAAGCTCTTGATAACATTGATTTACTATATCTAAAATAAATGCAAAGCTGGAACTGAAGGGACAAGATTTCATACTAAATATTTACAGTGTGAAACTAAATCATCTTATTAGTTTTGCTCTTAGGAGCATTAATTATATGGGGGAAGATGAATCAGTTTCTACTCATTGTATATTGCTAACTTTAGAAGACATTAAATCTTTATCTACCAATTTATTTTGGTTGTGTCTGCCACCATTCTATCTAGATGCTTAGATATATAAACACATGTGAGGAAGCCATGCTGCATGGTTATACATATTTTTCCTCAGAATATTTTGTGGAGTCAGAGCCACAGCTCCAGAGCTATATTTGGATCAACTGCAGAATCATAAATTCCATGTCATTTTTTTTTGGAAGCTCCAGTGAGAGAGATAGCTTTGTCTCTTTTTCTTTGATACGGTAAGTTTTAGACTCAGAAGACACTGTGGAGATTTTTTTTTAAAGTTTTGCTCAGAGAACATATAAAGAGGCACCCTGGAATCTAGTTTATCTGGTTAGAGGGCTTTGTACTTGAGTGAATTCATATAAGCAGGTGCTGTAAACAATCAGTACATATCCAGGGAGATCAGGATAATGGGTATTTAGCTGAAGGAAAGATGGAAGGTGAGATATTGGCAAGATTGTGGTTTTTCATGAACCTGAGAAGGAGGGGGTAGAACAGCCAAAAGTACTTTAGAATTCATATTGTAGGGTTTAGAGGAAGGAAAGAAATGTCAAAGGGAAGTGATGATGAAAAACAATAAGAAATATAGAAACACAAACTTATGCACACAGGTGTTTCCTTCTACCTTAGGGGAGACCTGTTCCCCCTCAAATAATTCTAGTATTTATCATTTCAATATATAGAGGAAAATACTAGTCATTTTAATGGAGATTCTTTGAAATGCCATCTATTAACATGGTCTACCTTTCATGATTGCTGAAATGCTAACTCAATTCAAATATCTAATGGCAATGGATTCTGAATTTTCTGTAATGATTATGTCCTTTTGCTGTGTTATTGATGCATGCTTTTTATAAGTCTAATTTAACAAGTAGATTATCATTAAATTGTTACCTTGATAACTTGAGATAATTTGGTGCAAAACTCATTGCCCCAGATTATAGTGCTAATAACAGATATGAGCTGTAAATAGTAATTCATAATGACAGTACACAATTTGATCACTTGTTAACCTTAGAAAATTAGTCCCTGACTATTACTACTTAACATATGGTGGATCAGACAGAATACTATGTGGGAAAACCTTATAAAATTATAATGTGCCATATGAGAAAAAGACAGGGCATCTAGTAAACTAGAGATTAGCATTTGCTCTAAGTGATGCAATATGTTGAATAAATGAGTCCAAGGGGTCTTCTCTGTGCCCAGATCTACACTAATGAGGATCAACTTTCCTTGTAAAATGTAGACAATTTCCATTGTGTTCTAAGACTCCATTCCTTGTAGTTAATACACAAAGTTATGTAAAAGAAGATGAATATTTTGAAAACTAAGTAACAGAAATTCATTAGCTTTGTTGTTATTTAGGAATGCCAGTCAGGAGTATTTATTGAATACCTGCTATGTATGTACACACACACACACACACAACATGTATACACATATGCACACATTATCTATTATGGGGCAATATTGAAAATAACACATTCCCAGTCCTTTATGAATATAGCAATGTAATAGGAAACTGGACAGGTTTCAATATATTACTGGTGATGAATTACTAATAAGAAGAGGGGCAAAAAGATATCATGAAGAACATGTATACCAAGAAAAAGGACATGGGTATATCATGTAGGAAGTATAGGAAAACAACAACAACAACAACAATTACATTGTATAGTGGAAGGTGAATATGGAATCGGAAGACTTGAGTTTGCATCCTAACTGCCACTTATTACCTATGTGATAATCAGAAAACATTTCTGTTTGCTGCACTACAGTTTACTTATCTTTAGAATGAACTAATTTGGATTAGATGATCTCTAAATTTCATTTCTACACCATGTTCCTATGAGTCTATGATGTAAACAACTGGAATATTGTCCTTAGTCAATACAATATTGAAATGACCAGAGGACAGCCTCCAGAATGTTAGGTGATTACTCACTGGAAGATTTCTAGAAAGAAAAACACAAGGACCACACAAAATGAGAGGCTATGTGGTCATGAATTATATTAGCATAGGAAATATCAATGCCAGTGAGATCATGGATCTATAGATGTACTGAGATAACAAGGAATTAAAATGCACCATGATTATACATGTGTAGGTTTCCCACTTTCTCTATATATCCTTTCTTCACTTCTACCAACTCAAAGTGAAATGATAACATGATATGCCCCAACAATATGCATGCCTGACTTATTACCCTTACCTGGAATTGAGCCATAATAAAGTATCCATCGAATGTTGTTTAAATAGTCTTATATAAGGGCTTGGAGAGGATGAATTTAGGAATAATTACATTGTTTTGTTTTTACCAGACCCAGGAAAAGTATTTTATTTTTAAATTTATTTTTCCCTTTTAATAAAACTTCCTTTGATATGGCATCACCTCCCTCATTTCATGGTCTTTTTTGAGAATGAAGGACAAACAGCAGCAGCAGCAAAACTTCCATTGATATAGTATGGACAATGTCAATCAATCAACTAACATTAAGTACCTACTATGTGCCAAATACTATACTAAGCACTGGGGATACAAGCAAAAGAAAAGAAAAAAGTCTGTGCTGTCAGTTTCATGAGAGAAACAACATGCAAACAGCTAGATACAAAGGAGATATATACAGATGAACTGAGAACAATCTCAGGGAATAGGTGCTAAGATTACAGAACAACAGTTAAGGCTTCTTGAAGAAAGTAACATGTTAGCTGAAACTTGAAAGAAGCCAGATAAGCCAGGAGGAAGACAAGAGGGGGAAGAGCATGCTAGGCACCAGGGACAGCTAGTTAAAACTCTTGGGAATTAAGGGATGAAATGTTGTATATGAAGAATAGTATGGGACAGCTCGAGTCACTGGATTGCTGAATATGTAGGTGGGAGTGAGCTTGCAGGAAATGGAAATGTAGGAAGAGGCTAGGTTACAAAAGACTTTGAAAGCCAAACAGAACATACTATATTGGATCCTAGAGGAGAAAGAGAACCATTTAGTTTATTGAATAGGGGGATGACATTGTGAAGCCAATGTTTTGGGAAGATTAATTTAAGAATAGAGTGGACAAATGGATTGGAGTGGAGGGAGCCTTGAGTTAGAGATGCCAACCAGTAGGCTATTGAATTAGTCCAGGTGTGAAATCATGAGAAGGGTGTCAGATAGTGTCAGGAGAAAGAAAATATGACATGTTACAAAAGTAGAGATGACAAGATTAGACAACTGATTGGCTATGAGAAAAAGAAAGTGCAGAGTCAAGAATGTTACTTAAGTTGCAAGCCCGGGTGGCAGAGAGGATTGTGGAATCTTTAACAGTAATAGGGGAATTAGAAAAAAGAAGGTTCATAGGAAATATAATGAGTTTATTATTGACTTACTGAGTTTAAGATGTCTATGGCACAAATACAGGATCATTTCCAGTGACTTTCAAATTAAGGGAATCTTTTGGAGGCCAAAGAATTGTGACCTCTGCTTCCCTTGTTCCCCCCAAAAATACTCTAAGTCTTTCATTCCATTTTTGGCAAAAGGGTTACATTCTGTCCAAAGCTCTGTTCTTGGGCATATTTTCTTTTACTGATATGGCTATATGAGGTATAACAAAACATATTTCATGATCTGGTATAGAGAAAAGTCTTCAGTGTTCATCCTAAAGGATGTTTTACTGAAGATAAACATCACTTGCTGCATAACTACAGTGATGTAGAAAGACACCTGAATTTGGAGTAAGGACACCTGGTTTCAAATTCTATTCCTGAAAAGTATTAGTTTTATGAAAATTAGCTAGTCACTTAACTCCTCTAAACCTTAATTTCCTTGCCTTGAGTTACCAGGTAGGCTGATTGTTGGGAAATATTGTGTAAATGTTAGAGCTTGTAAAAATGTAAGTACTTTTAATTATCACCCAAAGAATTATATTATTTACTGTTTCAGAGATTGATAAAGCACTTAAATTGTCCATCAAATTTATTCTTTTTTTAACCACATAAGTGGACCTAGTAAAACTATGTTAGGTACAGTTATTTTTAGCTCTAACCTAAGTGAGGATATATCTTCTGTAGTTCTTTGGGTAAATGTGCTTTCAGACAGTTGTCATTCTTTTAAGTCAATATGGAGTAGATGCAAGATCCAAGTGGAAGTGACAGGTCTGAATGTGGGTTCCACACTTTTCAATATCTCAGTGCAGGGCTTTTATTTTTTTTTTAACCCTTTTGTATGTGTCTCATGGAACTCTTTGGCTATCTATCCAAACCTTGGACTTCTTCTCAAGAGATTTATAGATGACTGAAGAAAATGATAAATTCCCATTAGAGTGAATATTAAGAATTTTTTCTCATGTAATGTCATGGACCTCCAGAAATTTATCCACAGATTCTTTAAGGTTCTGTTAGCCCCATATTAAGAACATTTGCACCAGTGGATTACTGATCTCTTCAATTGGCTTTCACCTCTAACCTTGTAGATTACAACCTATTCCCACTTTACTGTACAATTCTTTTTCATTTTCTCCCATGCATCTTCCATTGTTGATTTTTTCAACTCCCTGAAGACATTCTTCCATAATAGTTTTTGAAAACAGTTCAAAGGTACGTGGGCTATGCAATATTCCACCTGTGCATAAATCTCTACTCATTCTTGCTGCATGGCAGCCAAGTTTCTTTAATGATCATGCATTGTTTTTAGGCAATTGGGTTAAGTGACTTGCCCAGGGTCACACAGATAGTAAGTGTTAAGTGTTTGGTCTGAGGGCAGATTTGAACTCAGGGCCTCCTGACTTCAGGGCTGGTGCTCTATCTACTGTGCCACCTAGCTGCCCCAATGATCATGCATTTGTTGTGAATCTTTTATATCAATCTTTTTTTGCATGGAAGATATTGCTATTATATATTATAGCTTACTTATGTCAATCATATATCTTCTCACTTAGGTCATCAACAATTGTATTTTCTTTGCAGGTAAATTGTAGTAACCTACGTTTCACATCAACATTCAACTTAAGGGAAAATATTGCCATTAAAAAAATGGATTCTTGGTTCAAAGAGTAGCTTTGAATGATTAAAAGTGTTGCACAATTTCCAGGATTCAAGCTAGTCTTATTGTCTTTCCTCTGTTCATTTGTGGGTTCAATTTGTTATCTATCTTCTATGTCTGTCCAAGGGCTAACCGAATAATTCAAAGGGTTGTCCATCCAACAGCATGTCATAATCTAGATAACAGTAATCATTCAATATTTATTTTTGCCTATGTGGGTTGCCAGGATAACCTGTTGAAGTGGTCATGAAGGACAATTGAAGAGGTTCCATAACATTCTAGTATATCATGAAAGCAACACAGTGTCACATGTAGGATTAGAGTATCTGAATGGCCATATAATTTACTGAAAATTTCTCTTGTTTGAATTTCGCACAGAACTTCCTCCTCCATGACAATGGGAACACCTTTGACAGTTGTGTCTCCCTCCTATGTCTCTTGTTGGACAGTAGTAATCAAAGGTTCATTAAAAAATTTCTATCATTTTGTGTATCAGGAAATCTCATAGAGTCTTATTCATGGAAGATATTTTACAGATGCCTTTGCTGAGTCAATTTGTATGTATATATGCATGTCTAATCAAAACTACACATAATCAACAAGTTCAGTGAAGATTTTGTATTTTCTTTAGCTTAGTCAATTGACGGCCAATCTGTCATAGAAAATCACTTACCAAAGTCTGCATGTTCCTTTTTCATATTTATATCCTAGATATCCTTGATTTATGTAGTTAACAAACATTAATTAAGTACCTATTATGTACCAGGTATGGTGCTAAGTGCTGGAGACATAAAGGAAGGTTAGAAAACCCCATCATTTCCTGTACTGAAGGAGCTTGTAATTTAATGGTGGAAGTCAATACCTTTAAAAAAAAAGTTGAAAAACAAGAGGTGGTGGGAGGGATAGGGCACCTGCACTGGGCTGGGAAATCATATGGTGACTAATTTCTCCCTCCCAAAAAAATCATAGCAATAAGATGTTAATCATACTGGTGAGTAAATAGTGATGTCCCCTCATTTTTACCTACACTTTTAGTTAAAAGACCATTTATCATTTTTTACCTCTAATCCTTTTAGTATCTTCTCTTTCAGATATCTCGAAAATTGAACTTGCAATTCTTTCAAAATTGCTTTGCTCTTGCTATAGATTTCTTCTATGTATATTTGCTTTATCCAGATACTTTTCTTGCATCCATCATCTGTAATTCTATTTCCACTTCTAATATAGTGCATTGAGGAATGTAGTGTTAAAGTACAAATATGACATTTACATTGTTATTGAAGATAAGTGAAAGGATGGGGATTAAAAAGTATACAATCTGTTGGAGAAGAGTGAATGAAATGGAATAATTTGTTCATGTAGAGTGATTGGCCTTGGCAAGGAGAAGGACCAGCTCATTATATGAAACAGGGTTGAAGGAAGAGAAAGTAGTAGAAGGAATCTATTGATATGAGAGATAAGGAAAAACAGAGAAAAGGGAGCTTTTGGTCGGCGGCCTAAATTTTTTTGTAACATATGTGGCAAGATCCTCAGCTGATCCAGGCATATAGCACAGTGCTCTGTACATATTAAGGACTTAGTGAGTACTTAAAATATTGAAATGACTACTTGTAGGAGCTTAACTTCAGCTTGTGCTGAATCCATATATTCCATTTTTACTATATTTCTATGCAATTATCAAACAAGGCCAGTAGCATTCAAAAGGGTATTGACAAAGTTAAATTTTGTCTGAATTAGTTTATCTATTATAATCTTGAAATATGTTTATCTGAACCACAGGAAAATAAGAACAACAATATTTTATTCCTCTATATTTCTCTACAGTTACCACTGTGGGAGGTGAATTCTCTGGAGAGCTGAGTGAATGAACCTGGCAAAGCAGCAAAGTTGCACAGGAAGCCACTGTTTAATGGGAAAATGTCCATTCTGTTATGAATAATGGCAAAGGTAAGATAGAAACAAATAATTGATTTTCATGGAAGGGAGAAGAATTGACGTAGGTTTAATTCACCATCTGTATTTGCCAGACTACTCCAATTTCTTTTAACATGGCATGTTTTAGTCTTCAGTTTAAAGCTTCCTAATTTTTAAGCATTAATTTCAGTGTAGTTAATTCATGTTTTCAGAAAGGGGACACTACTTCTTTTTGAACACAGAAACAGTTGTCTATTTCCCTTATATATTTATTCTCCCTATGCAAAACATAACTTCCATTTTAGGAAAAGTAAATCAAACTTGATTTATCATAAGAGAAATCATTTTTTCTTATCAGCAAAATTTTGCTAATTTTCAAGCAAAATGTTATTTGACTTCAATTTCATTTAAACTTGTGAAAGTCACAAATTTAGCAATCACAGAAATTATGAATTTCACAACTTTAACATGGAACTGAGGAAGCATGGCATAGTGGAAAGAGACTTGACTTTGGCATCGGAAAATGTGAGTTTAAAACACATCTCTGACAAAGATTAACTTTGGATATGTCCTTAATCTCTTAGTGTCAGTGGTTGTGTTATAAGATCACATATTACAAGAAAGTAACATATTTGTTTCAATGGAATACTTTCCTCTACCACTGAAATTACAGGTCTCAATAAATCAAAACATTTTATGATTTCTCATATCATTTACTTTTCCAATTTTCACATCATGAAGAAAAGTCATGAAACTTTGACCTGAAACTCCCTTAGAATATTTACTTATTCTCATCTGAGTTGAAGAGGAAACAATGTGCACATCTGGAGGAATGTAGAAGTCTTTTGGACACATAACATGAGAGATATACACAGAGTTAAAATGGAGATTGAAGTAGAATTTATTATGCTTCAGCTGATGTTAAAAAGAGTTAGAGGTAGCAATTATAATCTCAGACAAAGTTATGGCTAAACATATTAAATTTAAAGAGATAAATAGGGTAATTACATTTTGATAAATGATAGATGAAACAATCTCAATACTGAATCTATGCCCACCAAACGCCATAATGTCTAATTCTTAAAAATTATATAATTTTGCAGCTATCAGATTGGCTAAAACAATTGAAGGGGATAGAAACAAATGTTGACGGGGAAGTGGAAAAATTGAGACACTAATTCATTGTTGGTGGAATTGTGAACTGATTTTGGAGACCAATCAGGAATTATACCCAAACAGTTATTAAATTGCCTGTATTCTTTGACCTAGCAATACCACTATCAGATGTATTTCCAAAGATGTTTAGGGAAAAAAAAAGGAAAAGAACCCTTATGTTCTAAAATATTTATAGCAGCTCTCTTTGTGGTGGCAAAGAACTTGATGCCCATCAATTTGAGAATGGCTGAACAAGTTGTGATATGTGATTGTGATGAAACACCACTGTGCTATAAGAAATGATCAGCTCAACATCTTAGAAAAAGATGGATAGACTTGCACAAAATGTACACAGTGACAACAATATTGTATGTATGTATGTATGTATATATGTGTGTGTGTGTGTAATGGTAACCATCTCTAGAGTGAGAAGGAGGGAAGAAAAAAGGAAGTAAAAAGGAAATTTGCATGATAACTTTATCATACATTTAAAAGGAATAGCAAGTTGTACATAATAGATTTGCAGTTTCACGTATAATATTTTTATTATAGTGTTACGAAAATGCTTGTTTTATTCAATAAATCAAAAAATTAAATAAATAAAAACTTAAAAAGAACAAATGAATGCACAAATGAATGAATGAATGAATGAATGAATGAAACAATTATTATATGCACAGCACTGTGCTAAATTGTGGGAAGAGAAATAAAAAAGGAAGATTATCATTGCTCTGAAGGAGCTCACATTCAAATGGAGACCACACATAGAAACTTTCAGCTACAAGTCAGAAAGGTCCTATAGTCCTTAAGGTGTGACAGCAAAACAGAAGCTAATAGTTTTTTTTAAATTCATTAATTTATTTATTTTTAGTTTTCAATATTCACATCCACAAGATTTTGAGTTCCCAATTTTCTCCCCATCTCACCCCTCCCCCCAACCTCAAGGGAAACCCCTAATCTGCCCTTGCTTTTATTTCCTCCGCACTTTTCCTTATCCCCTTCCTCTTCTATTTTCCAGTAGGGTAGGATAGATTTCTATACCCCATTTCTATACCCCATATTTCCCAGTTGCATGTGAAATTTTTTTTAACATTTGTTTTCAAAACTTTGGGTTCCAAATTTTCTCCCTTCCTCCCTCTCCACCCACTGTCTTTGGGAAGGAAAGCAACTCAATACAGGTTATAGTTGTATAGTCATGCAAGACACTTCCACAGTACTCATGCTGTGGAAAGCTAACTGTATTTCCCTTCATCCTATCCTGCCCCTCATTTATTCTATTCTCTATTTTGACCATGTCCATTATCATAACTGTTTGCTTCTGATTACCTCCTACCGCAATCTGTCCTCCACTCTATCATCTCCCCCCCCTTATCCTCTTCCTCACTATGTTCCTGTAAGATAACATAGCTTTCCATACCCAATTGCATGTGTATGTTATTCCCTCCTTTAGCCAAATCTGATGAGAATAAGATTCACTCCTTCCCTCTCACCTTCCCCCACTTCCCCTCTACTGTAAAAGCCTTTTCTTGTCCATTTCATGTGAGATAATTTACTCATTCTACATCTCCCTTTCTCCTTCTTCAAGTATAATCCTCTCTCATCCCTTAATTTTATTATCCAGATATCACCCCATTCATCTTCAACTCACCCTGTGCCCTCTATCTATGAATCTATCTCTATATATAATTTTTCCCCTCCAACTACCCTGATATTGACAAAGGTCTCATGAGTTACAAACATCATCTTTCCCTGTCATATGTAAATAGTTCAACCTTAATAAGTCCCTTATGATTTCTCTTTCCTGTTTACCTCTTCATACTTCTCTTGAGTCTTATATTTGAAAGTCAAATTTTCTATTCAGCTCTGATCTTTTCATTAAGATGTTTGAAAGTCCCCTATTTTACCAAATGTCCATTATTCACCTGAAGGATAATACTCAGTTTTGCTGGGTAGGTGATTCTTGGCTGTAATCCTATTTCCTTTGCTTTCTGGAATATTATATTCCAAGCCCTATGATCCCTTAATGTAGAAGCTGCTAAATCTGTGTTATCCTGATTGTGTTTCCACCATACTTGAATTATTTCTTTCTGGCTGCTTGCAATATTTTCTTCTTTACCTGGGAACTCTAGAATTTGGCTACACTATTCCTAGGAGTTTTCCTTTGAGGATCTCTTTCAGGAGGTGATTTGCAGATTCTTTCCATTTCTATTTCACCCTCTGGTTGTAGAATATCAGGGCAGTTTTCCTTGATAATTTCTTGAAAGATGATGTGTAAGCTCTTTTTTTGATCATGGTTTTCAGATAGTCCAATAATTTTAAAATTATCTCTCCTGTATCTATTTTCCAGGCCAGTTGTTCTTCCAATGAGATATTTCACATTTTCTTCTATTTTTTTCATTCTTTTGGTTTTGTTTTACAATTTCTTCATTTCTCATAAAGTCACTAGTTTCCAATTGCTCCATTCTAATTTTTAAGGAAGTATTTTCTTCAGGGAACTTTTGGACTTCTTTTTCCATCGGTCCAATTCTGTTTTTGAAGGCATTCTTTTCATCAGCTTTTTGGACCTCTTTTGCCATTTGGGTTAGGCTGTTTTTTTAAGGTGTTATTTCATTCAGTATATTTTTTTGTTGAGTCTCCATTGGCAAGCTGTTGACTAGTTTTTCATGATTTTCTTGCATCACTCTCATTTCTCTTCCCAGTTTTTCCTCTACTTCTCTTACTTGCTTCTCAAAATCCTTTTTGAGCTCTTCCATGGCTTGGGACCAACTCATATTTTTCTTGGAGGTTTTGGATGTAGGAGCTTTGACTTTGTTGTCTTCTTCTGGTTGTATGCTTTGATCTTCTTTGTCACTAAAGAAAGATTCTATGGTCAGATTTTTTTTTTTTGTAGTTTGCTCATAACCCCAGGCAATTTCTTGAGTTATAAACTATTTGTTAAGGTAGAGGTCTACTTCCAGTGTTGATAATGTACTGTCCCAAGCTTCAGGGGTTTTGTGCAGCTGTTTTCAGAGATACTTGTAGGGATCTGTAAGTTTTCAGTTCTTCCAAGGTAGTATGATCAAGGGCTAGATGTTTACTCCTTTCCTGGCCTGTGCTCTGGTCTGTGAGTGAACACAGGCTTTCTTTTCTGCCTTGGAATGGTGAGGATTCTCTCTCCACAGCCACTACAAGGTCCACCACACCAGCACTCCTCCTCACCCCAAGATTGTCATCCAGAACTGTGACCCAGATGCTAGCACAAGCAAAGCTTGAGAATCATGCCTAAGCATCAGCAAAGAGATCTCTGCAATCCAGCTCTGATCAGCCACTCAATTTCCCCTCAGTTTTTGTGCTGAGAGTTCCAGGAGCAGCAGAAGCCTCAGGCCTGCACTTGGGACTGGAGCTGGGCCCAAGCTTCTCTCTCACAGTGGTCACAGACTTTTCCTACTGACCTTCTAAGTTGTCTTTGGTGTTTGTGGATTTAGAAGTTTGGAAACTGCTATAGGTGCCCTGTGATTCACTCTGAGGCCTACTCCAGGTTCACTGAGGCCTGGTCTTTGCCTGAGTGCCAACACTGAATTGGTTTCTCTCCCATCCAAGTGCTATAGAGTTTTCTAACCAACTATCCAGGTTGTCTTGGGCTGGAAATTTGTTTCAGTCTGTGTTTTTGTGGGTTCTGCTGTTATAGAATTTATTCAAAGCCATTTTTTTTTACAGATATTTAGAGGAATTTTTGGGAGAGCTCAAGCAAGTCACTGCTTTTACTCTACCATCTTGGCTCAGCCACTGTTAATGGGTTTTTTAAATGTTATCTCCACAGATAAAATTCTATTAATTTCTGATCATGAACCATTTTATGTGCCAAGAGTTTTGGGCCAATAACTTTCTTTTCTGAGTCT